GCGTGTGTTCCAAGACCTCCAGTGCATGATTGGAAATGTGGGCAGCACGGAAACCTCGGTATACTGGTTTTTTTCCTGTAGATACCCACGATAAAGTTTGATTCATAAATGAGGCACAATATGAGGGTAAGAATTAATAAAACTGAACAGTATGACAACGTGCTGCAATAAGGTATGCGACCGAATCTCCCAAAATGTCTCATTTTTCTGTGCTCAGCTATTTTCAGACCCCATTTACTGAGGATAACTGAAATCTTGGATGGCAAAACTTCAGATAGGCAGGGACTACTGTAGATTTATCTGTCTTTGCCTTTTTTTTTTTTAAGTTGAAATAGAACTTTCATACGTGAACAGGATAGGGAGTACACAAACCTTAAATGTATAGCTTGATGACTGTCACCTAGGTGGGCACCTCAGATAAAAACACACAGCATCCTGGCACCCAGAGGGTTTCCCCTGAAAACCCTGCACCCACCTCAGAATATTATCCCAGAGATAGCCGCACTTCTAAGTTCGACTCCCAGTGTATTTGGAAAACTACCAGATTCCTAAATCGTATTCTTGATGTGGATGCCCTGACCTGCTGGTATCGGTTAACTCTGCCCTCTGGACAATCTGCCATGGTCTGAAGCCTTCCTGTGACCTTCCAGGATCCCAGACAGCGGGACTCACTTGAATACCTCCCATTCTCCAGCCTTCCCAGACCGGCTTCTGTCTTTTGGGATAAATTCCTGACAGCCCTTAGTCCTCTCTGTCTCTTCCTCAGCAGGCTTGGCTCTTGCCACTGCTGAGGCAGAACTTCAGTGCCAGGCTCCTGCTTAGCTGTTCTTGGCTAAACAGTAAGATAGGATAGGGACCTCAAGTGAAGGACCTCTACTGGCCCACGCCAGTCTTGAATTATTACTGGAGTCTGGCGAGGCATGGTGGCTCACACCTGTACTCGCAGCACTTTGGGAGGCTGAGGTGGGAGGATTGCTTGAGGCCAGAAGGAAAAAGCCAGGCGTGGTGGGACATGCCTGTGGTCCCAGCTACTTGGGAGGCTAAGGTGGGAGAATGACTTGTGCTCAGGAGTTCAAGCTGCAGGTGATTATAACACCATGGCCTGTAGAGTCTGGTTGAGAGCGAGACCCTATCCTCAAAAGGAATAAAGGGGGAAAAAAGCCTGAAGATGGAGTTCCTAACCCCCTAAGTTTATATGATTTATATGACCTCCATTACAGTCAAGACTTCGGGTAAGTCTGTTAACTCCCTGCAAACTTCAGATCAGTGATGGCGGATTTGCAGTGCTTGCCACCGCCCTCCTCCCGGCGGACATCACCAGTCCCTCCGTCAGCTCCCTCCTGCCCAGGCTTAACAAAACATCTAAATCACCAGTTTTCTGCCTCAGCTGCACATTGGAATCACATGGGAGCGTTGAAAAAATCCTGGTACCAGGGTCTCACATCCAACTATTCTGATTCAGTTAGCGGGGGTGCAACCTACATAGGTTTTTAAAAACCCTCCCCCAGTGATTCTAAAGTATAGTAAAAGTTACGATCTGTTGCTCCAAATCCTTCTCAAACAAGTCTTCAGGAAGCTGCTACCCCAAACAGACCAAATCCGTGTCCTTTCTGTTCTAAGCCCCGGTCACCCTGTGTGGTTCCAGGACCAGCTACCCTGGCCTCCCCGGTGCTGCTTATTGATGAGAACCTCAGCCTCACTCAGACTTGCTGAATCTGAACCTGCCTGTTAGTCAGATCCCCAGGGGCTCTCAGCCTGCCACTGGGCTGGGTGAATTCCAAGGCACCTCCGAGCCCTCGCAGTCCGATTTTGGCTCCAAGAACCTCCCTCTACTGAGAGTGCATCGGAGTTTTAAGAGATGGTGCAGCTTGGGGACTGGCTGTTTTTATATTAACATGGCAATTTGGGCGTTTCCCTTTATTTTAAGGTTTGTTATTAATTAGCAGAAATGTTCTCTGTATTATCTGTAAACAATTCTCTTAATTCTAATCTCATCCATAAAGCGATTCTCCCCCCAAAGAACTTGTGACAATTAAAACAATCTTCATGAACTCCTCTTCCCATTAAAAGTTCATTGAGATTCAAGTCAGAGGCAAAGACCCATCCGTGGGGTCATTTCCACTGAACTTTGACCTATGGGGGCTGCGTGAGCGCAGGCACTTCACGTACTCAAGGGGAGGCTCCTTAGTAGGTGACGTTGAGGTCTCATCACGGATCATCCGATATGGATGGCCCTCAACTCTCGTCACTACAGGGAATCCGTCCCAACGAAATAACCCGAAATATGGTAGAAAGCTCTATAGGTGAAATACTCCTCTAACAGATACATTTAACAACGTGAATGCCCAGCAACAGGGAGGAATATAGTTCTGTGTTAAAATATTGTTCATCTTAAAATAGTTACGTAAAACTCCAAGATTCCAACCATGCGTACATGGAAAGAAATCCACAGAAACAGTTAAAAATGAGACACTAATAAAAGACATAGCACAGAAAAGAACTCAGTCACAATCCTATCACTCTGTTTCTCAAGGTTTTTGTATTTGCAAAACGTTAATTACAAATGTATAGATACTTGAAATATAAGAATACACTAGTGCCACTGGGAACAGCATATTTATATTACAGTGATTTTAATAAATGAAGATTTTATTTAGTAATTAAAGGAAGAAGGAAAACCTGCGGACATACCGTTTCCCGATGGTAGAATTTCTTCTGCATATCACCCTGCAAAATCATCGTGTCCTGGAATTTGGTTTTTCTAGCTTTTATTATGGGGTGGCCACCCCATTTTTAAGAGTTATTGCTTTCCACACAATTTTATTGCCTGGGTTAAATAGCAATCTGATAATCTGTTTATTGGAAAGCCAGCACTTTGCCCATGGCTGCCATGCTTTTACGGACAGGGAAACCAGATGCAGAGAGGGCAAGCTACTTGCCTGAGCAAACACAGCTCGCAGGGGGCAGATGCAGGATTTGAAGCAGCTCTTAACACCGCCCTCCCCTCCCTGTGCTGCCCAGGCTCTGTGGCAGGGCGGGCGGCCAGCTCTCAGCAGAACCTTGAGGCCTTCAGTGGACTGGCTTCAGGGCTGTTTATTGTTTCTGCCTCTCACGGTAGAACCGTCAACTTTATGTTTGAAGGGTGAGGGTGGGGGCACTTTGAAGAGAGTGAGGAAGCACCCTGAGGGGTCTGCCTTCTAAACAGACCCAACAGAAACCAGAGGACAGCCAGGGCAGCTGAAAGGCTGGTGGGTGGCTAGCAAGTCGACTGGGTGTTCTCTGCCACCCCCGGATGACACCGTGTGTAGGACAGAGACTCAGCGGCAAGGCCTGGAGCCGTCTCTGTAAGGCTCTACAGATGGCCTCCCTGGGAGGGCTGGTGCACCCAGTAATTCATCCCCTTCCTGCGGGCATCTGTGGACAGCCTCTGCAGGCTGGGCACAGGGCAGCCTGGCTGAGTCCTGGCCGCTTCAGACTGCACGATACTGTCCACGGCCACCTTGCTATCCAGGCGTTTGACAACCTGGCCAGAGTTCTCAGATGGATTCCCAGAGTAAACCTTACAGTCACGACCCTGGTCAGTGAGAGGAATGAACTTTTGGCATGCGGGCGGCCAGCCCGGACCCCAGGCACAGCACCCAGTGTTTGCTGGGCTCATCCAATGGGACATGCACTTTCCAGGCTCTATTTTATGCAATCCCAACTTAAAAAATCCATGAGGTAGGGACCATTGCTCTTCCTGACTTACAGGAGAGCAAACTAAGGCTCAGAATGGTTCATTCACTCCCAGATGGCGATCTGGGGGTGACCCTTATCTTATTTCAGCTCTGCCAGTGGACAGCTCGGCTTGGGCTCCTGACTGATGCTTTGCCACTCTGCAGTAGCCTGGTCTTCAGTGATAGGCTGGCGTCTCTCTGCCTCAGTTTCCTCATTTACAAAATGAAGCTAATAATACTCCCTCCTCCTGGGTTGCTGTGGGGGTCAAATGAGTCTTTCCACATGTAATATGATAGTAGAAAACTCAGCATCTGGCCGTAGCTCCATAAAGGCGGTTATGAATATATTTACTGTTGAGCTTCAGCTGTTACGTTCTCCCCTTACGAAATTGACTCTTCCCTCATCTCTGATGTGAAATGTAGATAATGATAGCATCAGTGTCACTTAGTGGATGGGACACAGGACACAAAGCCAGCATTTTAAATCTAAGTCACTGTAGAAACCTCTGGACCGGCGCATTTTTATTCTAAATATTCATGCTGTCGTCTATTAGATGCACTTTCTGGTCCTTACCTGGAGCTGGATTCTCCGACAATAATCACGTAGCCAACATATTTAACATTCAACGTATGAGACAGCCTGGCAATGGACACAACAAGGGATCCTTTCACAAGTGCTAGTGTTTGGTGGCGAAACTGGGGGAAATACTAAGTGAAGCTTAGCGGTCCTCTTATTCTAAAAGAAGAGGAAATTGCTGAAGTACTTTTCAGACAGTGAGAAGAGCAGCTCAGTAGTGAGTTCTTTTTCAGATCGTCTTGGCTTAGGAGCTCTCACGTTCGAGTTGTGACTTCAGAAAGAACAAAAGAAACTGAACTTGCGTTTTGCCAAATTTAAGTTGGTGTCGCCCGGTTCCAACAGGTCCCAAGGAGAAGTGGTGTTTCCATTTGTCCCCTGTGACCTGTGTTCCCCAGCGGGGGCTGCTGTCCACAGTGGGAGACGCGGGGGCCAGGACAGGAGCCGAGAACATCCAGATGACCGTGTGTGCTGCCGTCCGACCGCGCTTTCTCGTTAACCCGTAGTCACACCGTCCAATTCATCAAAGAAAACAGAAGCCGGGGGACTGAACCAGCACATGTGTGGGTGCAGGCGAACCCCTGGCTTTGCTAACTGGGGTTCTCTTCCCATCTCAATTAGGTTCTGCTGTCTGAGCAGAAAAGCTAAGAAGGAAGCTGGGATTTTCCAGGGCTTTGCGTGGTCACTCCCAAGAGTCTGGTGTAAACAAGAGTCACTGTCTATTTGGTAGTGGGATTCCTCCTCAAAGCTTGCTGTGGGTCACCAGGGAAGCTGGAGGGAATTCTAAGCCCCTCCAAAATCAAGCTGAGGATTGAACTGCCCTGCACTGCTGTCCCTTTGCCGGGAAAGGTTTTACTTGGAGCTGCAGATTAAAGTGGCCTGAGCTACTGTCCCTTTGCCGGGAAAGGTTTTACTTGGAGCTGCAGATTAAAGTGGCCTGAGCTGCTGTCCCTTTGCTGGAAAAGGTTTTCTTCCTCCAGCGGCTGATCTCTTCATCAGAATTATCAAAGTTCTGGTCAGCCAGGTTCCCCTCCAAAACCACAGCCATTTTCAGGAAGCAAAAGCAGCTTCGATTTATAAGGGCCACTGAACGCTTTTATGGCATGCTTAGGAATTAACAAAAATCAAATCGAACAATGTGAAATCGTGCCCTTTTGTGTGTGTTCATCAGAAGGGCTTGGAAAACCAAATTACGTATTGTTATTTGTTTTTTATACAGAAACAATATTGAAAAAAAAAGGCCCCTTGTTGAATTTGTAAATTAAAACAAGGAGCTGCTTACTTAAAATTTTGAGAGCCCCCAAAGACCCAATACTGCAAATGAAAAACACACAGGATTGATAGACGTTTTCATCCTATCTAAATATGAGAAAGGATGATATGTTGTATTGACATTTAGGCTAAATCTTTCCCTTATAGGGTGATTGACATAAATAGCTTGGACCGTGTAACTCTTAAAGAGAAGGCGCACACACATTTCTTAAAGGTCCCAGCTGCTATTCTCACTGGAGGCATAAAGTTGGAATCCCAACTTCCAATATCAAATTTTAGCACAAGTCCTATAAAATGTATCTTGTCAGAATGTGCCAGAACCGCTAAGCTCTTTTCTGCGGAACAAACCGCAGCTGGTGTCCTTAGGGGTCGGGAACGTAATCAACTTGCTGCATCCTCAGGGTTTAGGCAGCAAATTGGTCCCAGTTTTCACCCTGCCACGGGGCTGGCTGGGGAGGGCAGGGGTTTAGATTAGCCGTGGCCTAGGCCGTTTGACGGGGCGACACGAGCCTGCAGGGCCGAGGCCAAGGCCTGGAGATAGGACCAACGGCCAGGAATGCGAGGAATGTTTTTCTTCGGACTCTATGGAGGCACAGACCATGGGGATTGTGTCTGCAGTGACAGCCTTAACATTCGCCAGAGCCCTGGACGGCTGCAGAAATGGCATTGCCCACCCTGTAAGTGAGAAGGTAACGTTTATTTTTGTATTTTTTTCTCTGTCTCCCCATATACAGACTGTAGAAAGACCACCAAGTGTGGACCATTTTTTTTTTCCCCACCATGATGTACAATTCACATTTGTTAATAAAAAAAAAAAAAAGTGCCCGAGGTCATCCACCTAGACTTTTTTTCTTAAACAGGAAACGGGTTTCAGATGTTTATATGTTGAAAAGTAAGGCTACTAATCTGTTTGGCCATTTAGCAGGCCCTGGCTAGCTCTTGCGTACCTTTTAATGTTCAGGCCCCATAGAATGACATTAATTTTTATCCCTCTTGTTATTTAGAATTAGAAGAAAAAAAAAACACGTTCAATAGTCACCTGCTTTTTTGGGACAGCTCCAGTGGCAGTTAAAAGAAAGGAATCGGTGGTTTAAATTGTGCTCTTAGCTGCACGGCCGTGCAGAGGGTTTGAGTGTTCAACACTCTTCGGCAATTCTTTCAAATCGAGTGTGGTCTCGTATTTTCATCTCTATCCACCAGTGACATCAGTTGAAGCAACATGTTTAGATGAAGAATGAAGATTCGCAAATGCACATATTTATTCCATTTATAGCAAGGGTAAAAAATTGGTCACTTCGGTACTTTTATTTCAATGTTCTTTGGGTCAGCGTGATGTTTTCCACGCTGCTTTTTAATGTTAGGCTGTGCCAGGTAACAGGAAAAGCGTTACCCAGGGAGTCCATCATAGTTTGAAAGGGCTTCAACTTGATGCTTGGAAATCATTTTATTTCGGGCATTTTGTTTTCCTCATCCCAAACGAATAATTTTAAACAGTTGTTGCGGGTGCAAGTGTTTCCCTGTTTCACATGGGAAATCAACGCTTTTTTACTATTGGGGAGGTTTACATATTTATAGTCCGGAGAGAAAAGAGCACGAATGGGAAGTCTGAATGCTTTTAAGTCAGTTTGCTAGTATTCAAATCATCGACTTAAAAGTGTATTTTAAACGTAGAGTTCAAAGCAGAAGAAATAGAATTATTTACTAAAACTGAATCAGATGGTGCCCACTTTTTAACCCACCTGTGTTTGACCAGATGGTCCATGTCTACTGATCTTGTAAGGGTGCAACAGACCTATTCTTGGAGAATTTCGTCAAGGAGAGAAAACCAGCTAAGCTGAAAAGAGCTCTAAAAATTTCAGGATCAGTAAAAAAGTTATTTCCAAGACCGGTAAAAATTTGCAAAATTTAAACATAGACAAAGAATCTTTTACTTCACTACAAGAATCCTTCTCACACCCGTGTGTGTGTGTGTTAGAGTTTTATGAGGAAAAATACATTTGCTTGCTTTATCAAAGTACCAGAGGTGGCTGGAGAAAAGATCAGGACAAGTGTAAAAGTGGATATGTAATAAATGTCCCAACTCCTTTAAATGGAGGTGAGCTAGACAGACAGAACAAATTTTAATATATGGTATTGTTTTTAATCAAACGAAAAGGCCATTTTTAGTGTCTTGGGGCATGTTTTAGTTCGGCATTCAAATTATGCCAGGCTTAGGTAGGAGTCAGGCGCTCCCCATGGAAACCCAGTGACAAACAGTAATCATCACCTGCACTGAAATGTGAGCAAAAATATAGAGAAAGTGGCTCCTGAAAAATGCATCCCTTAAAATGGGAGCACCTGACAGAGGCTGATCTGTGGGGCTGGTGAGAAGTGGAACAGTCACCATCACCACAGGCTTATCTGTGAACCCTCAATTCCATTAAAAAAAGAAACTGCTTAGCAAGACCCTTTTGAAAGCCGTGGGGTGCTAAAGGAGAGGAACCTGCTTTGCGCCCGCATTGACAAAAGCGGTCTTTGGCCCCTGGACCCTGATGAATAGAAAAATGCTGTAGTCTGCAAGCCCACTGCAATCGCCGTGTCAGCTCAGAGCTGAGATGCTTCCCAAGTGAACACCTGGATGGTGTAAATCACCCTGGCAGTAAACACTTCAGGCCAGGACGCAGGCTGCAGGCGGGTTGGGGCGGCATCCTTCTACCCGGCCGGGCTGCATAAACCAGGCGCTGGCCCTGCGCTAATAAATGCTCCTTTCACAGCAAAAGACCCCTCCCTCCCATGCTGGGGTCACAGTCCCTGTAGAGAAGTTGCTCAGATAACGGACAGCATTTCTCCCACCCTCGCCACTGGCCGACTCACCCCGGGCTGGTATCAGGGGAGTAGGGTTGTCAGGAGTTTATGCCACTACCAACGGCTTTACGATACCTCGAGAGGGGGACCAGGGCCACGGGCTTCACGGTGGCTATTTTCTAAAGGGGGCATGCGAAGATAAAAACCAAAACTCAAGGTTTTAAAAATCTCGTGTTAGTAAAATCCGAACAATAATAACGGGAACCAAAAGATCTCGGAAATGTTCCTAAGGTTAGTGGAATCCACAGTGACATTCCCTCTTTTAAAACACATTGAAGTGAAATGTTAAAGTAACTCTCGCTCTTCTTGCCGCGGTCTTAAAATCCCTGACTGCTAATGGACGACCACCAATTTCGTGCCTACAGTTCTTGTAAAAATCCCTGAATGGGGGAAAAGCAGAGGGCACACAGCAGAATGTATCTAGAAACAGAACCTCCTTGGGAATGTCTTTGCGTTCTGAGGTTCTACTTTAAAAAATACAATCTCCCTTGTAATTATCCCGTTATGAAGAGTCTTTTAAAAATGATATATTTTGTCTTCAGCCACACAGATGTGAGGACACACAGGCAAACGTTACGCGGCAGCTTTGGGAGAGGCTTTTTATGCCTGTCTCTTTCCACTGGCAGCACAGATTCGAGAAAAGCACGGAACTCGAGAGCAGCCACTCGGCCTCCGGGATCATCCCGGCACTGAAGAAAAACCCAGAGAAATTATCCCTCAGCCCGAAATGAAGCCGGGATCAAACGGTTGCTGATCAGAGCAAATATTTAAATTGAGAAAGTCAAATTGAGCGTTATTAAATAAAGCTCGTTTTACATGTCTCAAACAGAAAGTGTCTTTTGAAGAGCATTTTAAACCCGATATTAAAATGTGGCTCAGTGCGTGTCCTGGGACTGAATTGCTGGGTACAGGAATTTGGGTCCTAGGAAGAAGTGTGGTGTTCTCCCTTCACAAGGTATTTTTTCCCCCCAATGACTAAAATGAAAGCAGAAAGGCTTTTAGGTCGCTATTTAAAACTGGTCGTGCAATGTAGTAACTATGGGACAAGTGACCCGTGTTTGAATGTTTATTCCTTAGAGGAAGCACAGCCTGGCTGGTGCGGGGTGCAGGCGGCTCGCCGGAGCCGAGAACACCCACGTGTGGGGTGATGTTTTCCCACCAGAGCGCAGCGGGTTAGCAACTGACCCGTGCTCCCCCCCTCAAACCTAAAACCACTCTAATGGGCTTTACAGTATTTACATTTTGAATTTTATTTATAGGACACCAGATGTCTACGTTCAAAAAAAAAAAAAATCATTTGGAATATAAAATCCCTCCCCTTCCCCACATTCGTTAGCTGAGGAACTGTTTACCTCGCCATTCCCCTGCCCCAGTGTATCTATGTCTTTTGAGCCAGTTCCGAGCTGGGTTTTGGTCTCTGGAGGTTAGGGAGGTGGAAGACTGAGCATTTATCCCCATTTTCGGTGTGACCACGGGTGTGCCTCTATTTCTGGGCCATGTTTTCTCCTGAGATTCTTTGCACCTCTCAGTGACCACCCTCTTAACTCATTAAACTCTTCTGACAGAGAAACGGAGCTGGGCAGAAGCTCCAATCCAGACCTTAAGAAAACTGCTCAAGATCCTACCCAAGCCACGGTGTCCGGCTGTGAGCTGGGGTGAGCGGATGGCGCTTTCCTCCTCCATCCCCGAAAGTGATCTTAGAAGTGTTTAAAAAAACACAAGTGGGTATTTTTATTCACTTGTTTTCATTGTCAAATAACTTCAAAACACACAAACCCAACAAGGCACACAGCCCCACAGCCCTCCCCTGACCGATCTGCCCAAAACTGCCAGTCACGTCTCGGCTTTAAGTCACACAGAACGTTCTACAGATCCACTCCTAACACTGAACCTCTCCCAAGCCCAGCCAGAAAATTACCTCCCCTCCCCACAACACAGATAGAGGGTTAGCTTATTTTTCAGTCAAGACCCACTCCGCAGGCTTGGCCTGATTCCTTCCTGTAAATTCTACCGGCCAGCAGCCAGATCACCCTGCAAGCCAGCGTGACAGCACCGCAGAGAATGGGGGAGAGGGAGCAGAGGCCAGCAGAGCGCTCTCCAGGGCCAGGTGCATTCTGCATGTCACCTCCCTTAATTTCCAAAGGTGTCACAGCCCCTCTCAGTGAGGCTCCTCACCACGATGCATACTGCCCAGAGGGACAGCGGCCCTGAAGGAGAACACTGAGTGCCTACGCCTACGGGTTGAACAGCCACACCTGGCACCTGCCGGCTCCAAGGGCTCTAAAGAGAATCGCCACTCCCCAAGCTAAGTTCTGCTTCCCCCAACTCCTAACCGAATTTCCACATCCATATTCAGAGAAAACAGGCTAAGGATCCCTTCTGTGATTGACTTTGAAGGTCCCGGTCAGGCCAGAGGAGAAGGTATAGTTCTAAGCACCTAAGAACAGAAGCTCTTAGTGAAAATATCTGAAGCCAAGGCGGGTGGGGATTGTGTTTAATACCCCTCCCAGGGCCCGGAGGCCAGAGCCAGAGGCCAGGTTTGATAAAGACCTGAGTGCTGCCTTAATCACTAAGAGCATAGAGAAACCTGTTTTTAATTCTCCGCTGTGCTACCACAATCTTAGATTTCTTGAGCATCGGGAGAGAAACTGAGGGCCAGGAGGTCATAGCTGCAGGACTCTGGGTGTTGCTGGCCTGAGACCATCAGCAAGAAAAGCCAGAAAGAGGGAGACGGAGGAGGTGAGGATGGGACCCCAAACAGGCAGATAAGTGAGGGGTGGAGTTGAAAAAGCTTAGGGCTACAGACCTGGGGAGAGTAGAGAAGCCCCATTGCTGTCAACAGCCTAGCAGAGCTGAGGAGATGAATCGGGGTTGGGGAAGTGGGAGGCAGGTGCTGCTCTCCAGAAAGTGCAGAGATGAAGAGAGCCTGGCTAGGTGGGTGGCTGTGGGGTAGTGGCAGGGATCTGCCCCATTCTCCTGTTGCTGTTGCTTCTGCTGCCAGGACCTCGGTCTCTTGCTTTTCCCACCCCAAGTTTCCCATTTCAGGCCCAGCGGTTCTCATTCTCTACAGAGTTTTACAGCACAGATGCCCCCCAGGGATTTAGAAGACGCTTTTTGCCCCCCACCGAGAATACTTTTTGCTCTCCCCAGAGATTTAGAAGATCCTTTTTTTTTTTTTTTTTTTTTTTTTTTAAGTTAACTCCCAGGCAATATTGTGTGCAGCCAGGGGTTGAGAACAGCCCTGAGCTTAAACTTCTAGATTCGAATTTAGGATATACGCTTCCATTTAACTAACTGGAGACTTCCAGGCTTTTGTTTCTTTGTCTTCAATTCCTGTACTCCATAGGTGCCCTGCCAGGGTGTGGGCTTGCCCTGGTCCAACATGGATATTAGCGTGGCTGTGATGACCCCCACCCAGGAAGCGCTGAAGGCATTGAGAAGACACCCAGATAGAACAGCAAAGTGGGATTATGGGGACCCCAGCATTCCGAGCTGAGAGCCTCAGGGACTAGACAGCATTCCGGGCTGAGGGCCTTAGGTGGACGCTGACCCACGTAGTTATTCTCTCTGAACAGGTGATGCTTATTAACAAACAGGTGTTATATGTTTTCTCACAGAACCAAGATAAACTAGGTAGGCAGCTGGTGCCTGCTTACCACTGTTCAAGGACAAATCAGAAAGTATTCTCGAGGGAGCCACGGGGGCAGGGTCACACATCCCATACTTAAAGAATTGTTTTAACTGGTGTATGATATACTGTTTTGCTATTTTAGAATGCCCCAAGCAGTTTCCCCCTTGTTGTGGGGGTAGGAGGTCGGGTGCTTGGGGGGTGGCTAGGTTTTCCTTGCTGCTGTTTTTAGCAAACAATGTATTTTATCTTACACTCGGCATTTCTCAACACTCCAAGGGCCATAACAGCCTGCAAGGAAAGTGCCGCCCCTGCCTACGCGACACCTGCTGCGTGGTGCAAGCTGGGTAGGGGCACTTTGGACTGGTTCTTCGGGAAGCAGAAATGCTCTCAGCGTGGGAGAGATTTCCAGGATGCCCACATCTGTTCTGTCCCCTTCTTTAGGGGTCGGGTCTGAAGGAAAGTGAAGCGGCCCCTGGTTATCTTGTGCTGGTCCCTACCCTAGCCCCAGGCCCTTGCTGTCCAAACCAAGAGCACTCACAAGACTGGCCCAAAAGCGACCTCAATGCTCCCTCTCATCAGCATGGGGCCCTCTCTTTCTTGGTAAATGCAGCAAGACAAAACAAAAGAGAAAACTTAAAAGTCTTCTGGGAAAAATCCAAATCTGGTTGAATTAAGATGAATTCGTTGTTATAAGTATTTACAGTGCTACATTTGCCCGCTTTTCTATAAATCACAAAACTCTTTCATGACAGCTGACATATATGGAGAGAGAAAGAGGAGAGAGCGGAGCCAGTGAGTCACACTGTTTCAGGAGCCTCACATGGGTTAATGTATTTCACTGTGTCCACAACCCTATGGGGCAGGTATTTTTTGTGCCCATCTTACGTATGGGGCAAGTGAGGCTCAGAACACTTGCCCCAAGGCACACACCTAGTAAGTACCAGAGCTCAGATTCCACCCCTGACTTCTGCAGGGCAGTGGTGCTGAGAGGAGAGGAGGTGCTATTATTGAAATGGAGACTGTGACTATTAAAGAGAGTTTCTTAAGTGCTGTCCTCAGAGCCCCAGCCCCAGTCAGTTCTGCTGCTCTGGGAGCCAGAGGCCAGACTCTTTTCCTTTCCGAGGCCTGACTCTCCTCTTCAGTTGCCGAGATGAGCAGCGCCTGCTTTGGGGTGACTCTCTCTCCCCTATACACCTGCCCGGGCCTCCAATACCAACTTTCTCCTCTATTCTTTCTGGTTCTTGAGCACTGAGGGTTTAACCTGTGCAGAGTTAGGGTCTGTTTGTTCTCAGAAAAGAGAAGAAACCTTTCTGGAAATATCAAACCAATTTCTGCTGGGACAACACATGAAGTTTGAGACAAAAACCCCCCAAACAGCAACAAAACAAAAATCGGAGTAGGCTTAGAAAAGACGTAGGACCCCCGTCTGTCGAGGGATGCCCGCTGGCTTTTGGATTCTGGGAATGAGGAGGACTTTTAGCTCTAGTTTCTAAGGATGGCTGGAGAACACACAGGACCCTGGTTCTGCAAGGCTTTGGGGAGTCTCTGAATCCCAGACTCCAGAGGACACGGGGCCTCAGTGCATGTCCTCAAGGAAGATGATGGCTTGCACAGAGCCTGCCCCGAAGCCTGTGTCCCTGCAGCCTCTGTGGCCACGATAGGCTCCTGCCTCTCCAGGGCTGGGCAGGCCCGGGCTGCGGCACACCCTGTCCAGGAGGTGTCCTTTAGCCCCTCCCCTCCCAGCACCCTCCACGTCCCACAGACCCACCACTCAACCTCAGCTCTAGCTAACGTATATACGGGGGAGGAGAGAGAGAGAGACCCGTCTTCTCAGCTGTGAAGTGGGCCTAATTCTACCTCTGAAGTGTGGCTGTGAGGATTACCTAAGACAATGCTCAATGCTTAGAAAAGGTCAATCTTCCAGAAGGCTCCACAGTCATCGTAATAAAAAAAGCACAAGTGGAGCCCTTGCTCATCACCATCCCCCTCACACCGAGCGAAGGAGGAGGTGGTCGCCGCTGCATGCTCATTTGTCCAGTGTCGGCACTGAGGCCCAGAGCAGCGAGGTCGCCCAAGGCCACAGGTGGAGCTGAGACCTGATCCCGGGTGGTCTGGCGCCAGGGCCATTGGTTAACCATCAGCCTCTCCAGGCACTTTACAGATGAGAGTCATTGTTATTATTTTGGCTTTGGTCAAAGATT